AATTGGACACAAAGAACATTCCTTAAGTTTGGAATAAATAAACTTTCTTAAAACTGCTTAGGTAACAAAGTAGTAAAGAGCCAAAAAATTTTATTTACTTCTAACCTTTGACTACCAGAAAGAGAAAATGAAAGGGTTCATGGAAGCAAACTTCACAGAAGTAACTGTAGACTTACTTGTCAGATCCAAATATGCATGTAGAAAAATGCACAAACATGGTTAAATTTACAGATGCTGGAATTTTTGGGGAGAATGGAATGTGTTTCTTACATATTAGTTTTATTTATTACCTTTTTGGTAAAAAGTCAGCTCCTAGAAGCAATTCCTTCCCTGTTTATTTTTCTCATAAATTTTACTGAGGTTTCAACTTTTCTCTTCCATAGTTTGCAGCAGGATGGCTACTTAGTCAATTCTACTAGGGTAAGATTTATTCTATGTATCATATGGAATAACTCTACCCGGTATCATATAGAATAACTCTACCCGCACGCCAGTCTAACTAACAGAAGAAAATAATATACAGATCAGTATACAGAAAATCTGTATACAGTTCAGTTTAGATCCATAGATCCTGAATTAAAAGGGGCCTAAGAGATAATGTCATTCTTCTTTCTCATTTATACATAAGGAAACTGAGACCCTGGAAGTTAGACTCCTTTCCTAAAAGAAAGGCTGTATAATGTGGTGAAAACGAAGGAGCACTTTTCAAAAATGTTAATAATAGTAGCTACTTTTTACTTAAACCCCACATTATGCCATGACAGCATGCCAGGTGTTACAGCTTTCTGTACACACAGACAGAAAGTTACAGCTTTTTTTGTTGTTGTAGTTTGTTAAAATTTTGTTTTCCCTGCTTACCAACTGTGTAATACTGTTTATCTGCCTTAGTATACACTCAAGTGCGGTGCACTTGGGTGAGTTACTTAGTGTCTCTGAGTTTGATGAAATTTAATTAGTGCCTTTTTTTTTAAAGCAATTTGCTGTATTTGTGTCTTCTTTTATATTCTTAAGCTAAAGCAGGACTGACCATTTCATTAACCTGTTTAAAAAAAGACATTTGGTTTTGTTGATTAGTCTTTTCCTTTATTTTTTATTTCTTTAATTTCTGTTCTATATTGATTTTAGTTTCTTGAGCTTTAAAAAATAATGGTGTTTTTTGTTTGTTTGTTTGTTTTTGAGACAGAGTCTCCCTCTGTTACCCATGCTGGAGTGCAGTGGTGCAATCTTGGCTCACTGCAACCTCTGCCTCCCGGGTTCAAGCGATTCTCCTGCCTCAGCCTCCCGAGTAGCTGGGACTACAGGTGCACACCACCACACCCAACTAATTTTTATATTTTTAGTAGAGATGGGGTTTCACCATGTTGGCCAGGCTGGTCTCGAACTCCTGACCTCAAGTGATGTGCCTGCCTCGGCCTCCCAAACTGCTGGGATTATAGGCATGAGTCACTGTGCCTGGCTCTGCCTCTTGGGTTCAAGTGATTCTCCTGCCTCAGCTTCCATAGTAGCTGGGAGTATAGGCACACGCCATCACGACTGGCTAATTTTTGTATTTTTAGTAGAGATGGGGTTTTGCCATGATGGCCAGGTTTGTCTTGAACTCCTGACTTCAAGTGATCCACTCACCTCAGCCTCCCAAAGTGCTGGGTGTGAGCCACTGCACCCAGCCAGTTTCATTAATTTCTAATGTAGGAATTTAAGGGTTTACAATTTTCATGTGTGGTATTTCAGCTGTATCCTTTAAGATTTGACTTGTAGTATTTTCCTTGTTCACTTTTAACTATTTTGTTATTTACCTTTTGACTTTCTTGACCTATGATGATTCATTGACTTAAGTTTTCAAACATAGATATTTTGGGGAGACTGTATTTTTTTTCTCCATTACAGATTGTTAAGATTAGAGATAATATAGAGGCAAATACCTGGCAAATAGTAGATACTCAATAAATGTTTTCACCTTTCCTTAAAGAAATAAACTTCTGCTATTTGTTTGTGTGTGTGTGTATGTAGAGATGGGACTCTCCCTATGTTGTTCAGACTGTTCTCTAACTCCTTGCCCCAAGTGATCTTCCTGCCTCGGCCTTCCAAAGTGTTGGGATTACAGGCATGAGCCACTGGGACTGGCCTAACTTCTGCTTTTGAAATGAGAATGGGAAATATAAAATTGCCAATAAGTGTAAATAATACTAAAAATGACTTTAGTTCTGCATTATAGCCAATTGAGATGAAGTACAGGGAATATAAGCGTTTGATAGGAAGAGGGTAAAATTGGGAGGAGGGAAGGGAGAGAAGGAAATTTAGCCCTTCTAATTTCCTTCTCTAGAATTTAGATATGATGGCTCATGCCTGTAATTCTAGCACTTTGGGAGGCTTGAGGCAGGTACATCACTTGAGACCAGGAGTTTGAGGACAGCCTGGGCAACATGGCAAAGTCCTGTCTCTACATAAAACACAAACATTAGCTGGGCATGGTGGTGTGCACCTATAGTTTGAGCTACTCAGAAGGCTATGGTAGGAGGGTTACCTGAGCTTCAGAGATTGGGGCTGTGGTGAGCCATGATGGTGCCGCTGCCCTCAAGCCTGGGTGACAGAGTGAGATACTGTCTTAAAAAAAAAAAGAAGGAAAGTTAGGGGAAAAAGTAGAAATATCAAGTTAATTCTAGTATTCTTCGAAGTCATATTCTGCTGAATAGTCTGTGGGCTTCAACATACCAGTTATTTTAGATTATATTTCTTACACTTTAGTAATAGAAGTATCCTTAGATGACCTTTAGTGTGTGTGTGTGTGTGTGTGTGTATATGTAAGTGTATGCAGGTGCATGTTGCCCAGTATGGCAAAAAAATTTTTGTTTTTGAGGAAAGGGTCCATAGTTTCATTAGAGTCCTTTTTTTTTTTTTTTGGAGACAGAATCTTGTTCTGTCTCCCAGGCTGGAGTGCAGTGGCGCGATCTCAGCTCACTGCAACCTCCATCTTCTGGGTTCAAGCAGTTTCCTGCCTCAGCCTCCCGAGTAGCTGGCACTACAGGAATGTGCCACCACACCTAGCTAATTTTTGTATTTTTAGTAGAGATAGGGTTTCACTATGTTAGCCAGGCTGGTCTCAAACTCCTGACCTCAGGCAATCTGCCCACCTTGACCTCCCAAAATTACAGGCGTGAGCCACCGCGCCCGGCCATTAGAGTCTTAAAGAGGTCCATAATCCCCAAGAAATTAAGAACCACTTTTTACTTCCTCCCTCCCTCCCTTCCTTCCTCCCCTTCTTCCCCTTCTCCCCCTTCCTTTTCTTTCTTTTGAGACAGAGTCTTGCCCTGTTGCCCAGGCTGGAGTGCAGTGATTTGACCTCTGCTCACTGCAACCTCTACCTCCCTGGTTCAAGTGATTCTCTTGCATCAGCCTCCTGAGTAGCTGGGATTACAGGTGCATGTCACCATGCCAGGCTAATTTTTGTATTTTTTAGTAGAGACAGGGTTTTGCCATGTTGGCCAGGTTGGTCTTGAGCTCCTGACCTCAGGTGATCCGTGGCCTCCCAAAGTGCTGAGATTACAGGCATGAACTACTGCGACCGGCCAAGAACCACTACTTCAGAATTCATTAGTTGAGACAAATTGAGAAGCTTAACAGGAAATAATTAGTTTTTTCCTGCTGTAATAGTAATGACTACTTCCCACTTGAGTGAGATTTGGTGTTCCTTATAATTCCTCACATTAGAGCCAGATGACCAGGCAATATAGTAAGAACAGGATTTGGCTTTTACTGAAGTGCAACTTAAAACTACCAAATGTGATATTTTATAAGCATAAATATTGTAATACTTGGTATGAATTACAAAAATGTAAATGCCTTTGATAAGTATAATTTTTATGCAGCTATGCCAAGCATTTTGGCCTCATCTGAAAGTAGGAATCATCCTGGGAGCAAGAGGAGGAAGCAGTTGGTAGCTGCAATGGAGAAAGGATACTGTAAAGGGGAGCTTTGGATAGCCAGAAAACAGGAAGACATTGTTTCGATAGAGATGAAAGGTTTTACCCCAGGACAAAAGAATACGGAAGACCCAAGGTTGATGAGAGAAGTAGGAGGGTACTCAGACATACTTGACTGGTAGGAAGGCTTCATTGCCTTAAAAGAGAAGCCAGCTCAGGATTCTAAAATTTGAAGGATGCAGCACTGATAGGTTCTTCAGAGGAAGCAGCTAAACATATGCACACAGGGGAGTTATTTTTCTGAGCATTGGCTCACAATAAAACCTACGTTTACTCAAGTACTTTATAATTATTCCCTCTTACGATTCTGGAATCAAAATTAATTAGTACCTTGTGTTAATATGTTTTGGAAATTTAATGCTCTGTCAGTTTATTTTTAACCCCCTAAATATGCATTATCCAGTATAAGATCCATTAGCTGCATGTAGCAATTTGAAATTAAATTAATTAAAATTTAATACAATTACAAGTTCAGTCCTTCAGTCACACTAGCCATATATCAAGAGCTCAGTAGCCTCATGTGACTAGTGGCTACTGCATTGGACAGCACATTGTACTGGACATTTCTTTTATCACTGAAAATTTTATTGGCTAGCACTGCCCTAAATAAAATCATTTATTTTCTTTCCTTTTTCTCCCATTAGACAAAAGCTGGTTTATATTAATATGTAATTAACTTTGATATTTCAAAATAAAAAACTTAAAGGCTTATTGGAATAATATTCTTTTGCTCTTTTTTTTTTTTTTTTTTCCCCGAGACAAGAGTCTTGTTCAGTCACCAGGTGCCAGGCTGGAGTGCAGTGGCGCGCTCTTGGCTCACTGCAGCTTCGCCTCCTGGGTTCAAGCAATTATTCTGCCTCAGCTTCCCGAGTAGCTGGGACTACAGACACGCGCCACCACGCCCAGCTAATTTTTCTATTTTTAGTAGAGACAGGATTTCACTGTGTTGGCCAGAATGGTCTCAATCTCTTGACCTCGTGATCCGCCCGCCTCGGCCTCCCAAAGTGCTGGGTATTACGGCACCCGGCCGATTCTTTTGCTCTTTACATAATTAAAAAGACGGTTCCACTCTTTTATAATGATCTGCCTGAGTGCCATTATTTTATAAGATTTTTCAAGAAGTGGTGACTAAAATAAAGCACTATTATGACTTGTATTCATTCCCTTCTGCCGAACTCTTGAGTCGCAAGGTTATTTCTCCTCTCTCTATAAGCATGTCTGTAAAGGCCCAAAATGTTATAACAAATTTCTGATTTAAAAGTTAGTGACTGGCCGGGTGCTGTGGTTCACGCCTGTAATCCCAGCACTTTGGGAGGCCGAGGTGGGTGGATCACGAGGTCAAGAGATCGAGACCATCCTGGTCAACATGGTGAAACCCCGTCTCTACTAAAAACATTAGCTGGGCATGGTGGCGCGTGCCTGTAATCCCAGCTACTCAGGAGGCTGAGGCAGGAGAATTGCCTGAACCCAGGAGGCGGAGGTTGCGGTGAGTGGAGATCATGCCATTGCACTCCAGCCTGGGTAACAAGAGCAAAACTCCGTCTCAAAAAAAAAAAAAAAGTTAGCGGCTGGGCATGGTGGCTCACGATTGTAATCTCAGCACTTTAGGAGGCTGAGGAGGGTGGATCACCTGCGGTCAGGAGTTCGAAACCAGTCTGGCCAACATGGTGAAACACCATCTCTACTAAAAATACAAAACTAGCCATGTGTGGTGGTGTTTGCCTGTCATCCCAGCTAGGCAGGAGGCTGAGGCAGGAGAATTGCTCGAACCCAGGAGGCTGAGGTTGCAGTGAGCCAAGATCACACCATTGCACTCCAGCCTGGGCAACATAAGTGAAACACTGTCTGAAAAAAAAAAAAAAGAATAGCTTTGTTTCATACATTTTTAAGGAAGTCATCATAGATCTCTAAAGTTGCAAGAGAGAGAAAATTCTCAAAGTAATTATTCTGCTATAGGCCTACTTCTCCCAGAACCTATCAATCAGGCATAAAGGCTAAAATATTAGTTTTTACTGCTTTGTGTTTTAACGGAATAAGGAAATAGACTTTTCTTTTGCTCTGTTTTCAATCTCTTTACTATAGGTAGGACTTTTTCAGCTGAATTGTATGAATAATTTCAGGAAAAGGATAACACGGATGATTTCAGATAAGTAATAGGCATAATTTCAAGAAACAAAAAATGTTTTCGTTGTGATAAAGCATTCTAAACACTTCCTAAACATCTTTAGAATCTACCTCTTTTTCCTGTTCCCACTATTGTTTCTTTGTTTCAGGCCCTTGACATCTCTCTATACCCTAGTATTTTTTGCCTCTGGCCTTGCCCTCTCTTTTGTCTTCACACTGTTTTTTTCTTTACACAGCTCTTTTCACAGTCCCTCCATTAGAATACAGATTGGATTGTGTGTCTCTTTGTTACCCACAGAATAAAAATTCAAATGTAATGATTTTGGTCTTTTGTTTTATTATAACATATTCAAACATGGAAGTATATAAGTAGAAAATAAGTTTTCTGCCTGATTTAATTTGTATTGGTACCATCTCTGGAATATAACTTCCCACTGTTAAATTTGACTGGCTTAAAAAAATACCATCTCTGAAGATAACTACTTAGAAGTTGGTTATATATTTTTCCAGACTTTCCAATGTTTATTTATATATAAACGTAAATGATTTTAGCGAAATGAAATTATACCATATATAATGTTTTTACATATTTTTTGCCTGGTTTTATTATTTATGCTCATTGATTATATTTTTTTGTTTTTAATTTTTTAATTTTTCCATATTTTATGGCAGGATATCTGAAAATATATTCTTACATTTATTATATCTGGGATATAAATGTATATGTGAAATATAAATATATTCCACCAGATTTTGTGGTAGGATATCTGAAATGTAAATGTATTCTTTTATGGTAGGATATGAATATATTTATATTTCAGATATATATCCAAGTACCTTAGCATGGTGGTGACTTATAATACGTGCTCAATGTTTCCATTCTTCTTGGACATATATGAGAAGAGCCATGTAACATTATTAACTATTTATTTATTTATCTGAGTGAAACTCTAAAGACTCACAGTCTGAGGACTCATAGATTTGTTCACATCCATGAACAACCATATTATGAATCTTTTACTTATAAAGCAAACCTTTCTCTTGAGCATGTTTGTGTTTTCTCATTTAGGTTTATAAATTGCTCTGGGACTAGTAGGATTGCTGTTTAAGAGTCTTGTGAGGTAGGCTGCCCGATTATTTTAGGTGCTTGCAGTAAGAGCAAATATTTTTTACTGGCAAATAAGAGACCACATTATAATTTATCCTTTTTACTTAGAGTGCATAGTATATTGTATACTGTAAACTTGTATAGCATGTGAAAACTTTTTACATGGGAGTCTTGGAACAAAGTCACATGTCTAACTCCTTTGCTAACTCTGAGGATGTAGAGGATGGATATGGACATAGGAAGTTCAACATGTGTATCATGGAGTGGGATATGTAGGTGTGTGATCTGTGATACAATTTCAGATCTGAGGGTTTCTAGTGGTTCTAGAGAAGAGAAAAGGATGAATCTGGAGCTGTTGTTAATTATTTGTAAAGTCCTATTTTGAAGTGTATTGCTTTTTACTCTTCAGCATCTCCTTTGGAAATCTTACTCTTCTACTGCCCTGTAGGGAATATGTGGACCTCTGTTTTGGGTGGATCAGTAAAGAGGATGCAGTTTGGGCCTCACCTTTTCTCATTGAGCAAAGAGTGAGGGCTGCTGCTGAGAGAAGTGCTTCTACAGTAGCTGTATTTGAAGCTTTGTCTGGCAGTAATGCTGGAGAGTACACAAATTGTCAAGATTCCAGTAGTTTGTGATTTATAAATTTCTTTGAGAGGTTAACATAGGTATATTCAGTTTTTTTATCTTTGTTAGTTTGTGTTCCCAATGGAAAACAGCTTGAGAAAGAGTTGCTAGAGTATAGAATTGAAAGTGCTTCCCTAGCATGTTCTTGGACTTCAGATTGTTCAGTTTTTTTTTTTTTTTCCTTGGTTTGTTTATTTGAACTTGAGCCTTTTGGCATGACAAATCACATACAGCTTTTCAGGATCCAAGTTTATGGTTATATAAGATTATTGTTTATATGCTTCAGAAGCTTTCCTCACTTATTTATTCATTCCTTCCATAAATATTCTTTGAAATGCTTACTGTAGGCAAGATTGTGCAGAGCATGTTATTAGATAGTAATTAGGGAAAGGGAAAAATGGAAATTATATTTTGCAGATACAACAAAGGCTGAAGGGGTGTGTTTAGGTGTATGTGTTTTAGGTACACACACATCTATATGTATACAAAGACATAATCCACAGTTCTGTAGGAACAACTTCCTAAACATCTTTAGAATCTACCTGTTTTTCCTGTTCCCACTGTTATTTCTTTGTTTCAGGCCCTTAACATCTCTTATATACACTAGAATTTCTTGCCTGTGGCCTTGCCGTCTCTTATGTCTTTACACTGTTTTTTTCTTTACATGGCTCTTTTCACAGCCTTTTCTAAAGAGCACAGATTAGAATTGTGTCTCCTTGTTACCCACAGAATAAACCCAGTATTCTTAATATAGACTCTATAAATAACCCCTTTATTAATCTCTCTTGAGTTACTCACTTTTAGGTTTCAGTTCCCACTGAGACCCCAACTGACTTTACCTTCTCTTCCCTCCTGGTTCTGCTTATCTTCCATTGCCCCTGTGAACCTGCTTTCTTTTATTGCCTTCCCTCCCTTCAGTCTCAGGAGGCTGACTTTGCTCTTTGGCTTCTAGTTGGTTTTGGACAATGGATAGCACTGGCAGGAGGAGAGTAGAGTTGGTGGTTTACTCTCCTGGCTTCCTCCTGCAAAATCATGTCATGTTGGCTCTCCCAGAGGCCATGGCGCCTATCATGGGGTCCTCTTTGTCCTTTCAAGTCTGTAGCTGATAGCAGCTTCAGGAGGTTGCACTATCTTTTGACTATGCCCACACCTTTCATACTTTGTAAATAGTCCTTTTCTTAAACTCTCCTTAAATTACCCAGTTTGAGGGTGCTATCTGTTTCCTGCTGGGATCCTGATGGCTGTGTTGCCCAAACCTAAGTGTCAGTCATGCTTGCAGTTACAGCTGTGTTATTTTCTTGTAGTACTGATTTCCCTCTTTTATTGAAAATTCTCTGGTAGCTGGGCATGGTAGTTTATACGTGTAATCCCAGCAGTTTGGGAGGCCAAGGCTGGAGGATTGCTTGAGTCCAGGAGTTTGAGATCAGCCTGGGAAACAGAGTAAGATTCTGTCCCTTCAAAAAAAAGAATCAGCCAGGAATGGTGGCACATGCCTATAGTCACAGCTGCTTGGGAGGCTTAGGTGAGAGGATCACTTGAGCCCAAGAGTTCGAGATTACAGTGAGCTGTGATCATGCCACTGGACTCCACCCTGGCTGACAGAGTACGACCCAGTCTCTTAAAAAATTTTTTCTTTGAGGTCTTTTTCATTCTTCCCCTCTTTTAGTCTTTTTTCCTTTCTTCTTTCATGGCATTGCAGCTGCCATATTATGACAATGGAAATGTTTGAATGAATAAGGGGATGGACATCTGAGTTTCCCTGTTATGTAGCATAATATTCACTTAAATGTCTGAAATGAGATTTTTAGAGAAAATTGGAGAAGGGAGTGGGTATGGGAATCAGGTCTTTCTCTTTGTAAAATGCATTTTAGATTTATTCCTTTGGAATATTTTATAATAGCATATATTTGAGGAAGTATATATGACATATATTTAATAAAATGGGAGAGATTTCAGTTATCACTGAATTGAGGATAATATGGGAACATCTGTTTACATCTATCCAGGTATTCATGTGTCTATTTTCCTCAACATATCATAGAAGTAGTGCACTAAGAGCAGACATACATACCTAACAGTTGTGTTAAGCAAGATCAGAATATGTATGTGGCACTGTCCTCCATGACCCTGATAGGAAACAGATGGCATATTCTAGCTGGGTCATTTGAAGAGGATTAAATGAAGGAACTATTCACAAATAGGTTGGCAGAGTTTAAATAATCAACGAGATATTGTAGTATCC